TCCATAAGCTGAAAACAGTTCTGGTAATAAGCTTCAGTCCAAGTTGCAAACTTACAATGGCCCCATTCATTACGAACCAAATCACGTACATCACTTGCAATAATATTAATTCCATCATAAACAAAGTTTGGTGCTACACATAAAATAGAGAGTGCTGCAGATGAATCCAATGTTTCATCAAAACCTGTAAAACTAGACATGAATGGCTTCACAAACAGTTTAGCTAATGACAGTTCATCTTTAACACAGTAATCATAGCTGTGATAAGATGATTGTGTTGCATTGTTGTTGATGTTCACATAATTAAGGCGCACAGTAGAAGGTGGAAGTCTTTTAAGATAAGAAGACAATGTTTGTGAATGAATGCATGTTGGTGGAAGAACCATGTTCTGATACAACTGATGCATTTCTTGCCCAATAACCCTCCTCATTGCAGGTGTAAGAACTTTTGAAAGGCAAATTCCAACCACAAGCCATCGCTTTTCCTCAGCCTTCAGCATATCCATGGTTTACCAACTCAGTGTTCTCTGCAAGAAACATTTAAGCAGATCTGATTAAATTTAAGTTTTTTTCCCTCAGATTCTTGTACTCTCGCATTTTCATAGCAACTTTCGCTTGAAATATTTCTAATGATCATTCTTACTCATACTTTTTCTAGACGTGAGTCAAAATGTCTGCTGGTACCCAGGGTAGAAAAAGCCTAGTCAAGTCGGTCTTGAGTACGAGTTTGTTATTTTACTTGATTACTTTTTGTAACTTGATAGTTCATTTTGTAAAGCTCTTAGGTGGTACTTAGGTGTAGGTGGTTTTAGGTGGTTTTAGGTTGTTCCATGTTTTAGTACTTACCAACCTGACTCTGTTTAAGACAAAATCCAGCCATCATAGTGTTTTCAACTCAGAAGGTGAAGTTAAGCTGTGTCTAACTTATTTGAACAGTAATTAAAATCCATTTTTTCCCATCACATGCACATACTGGACACCCCCATTATCACACCTTAACTGAGGTGACTCCCAGTCCAGGAGGACCCTCTGTTGAAGATGTTATATGGTAAACTTGCATGCTCTGATAAAACCTCAAGATACCCAAGCCATACCCTGCTTGCTGCATATTCCAGGTTATTCCACATACTAAATAAAAAGCCCAACCCTACTGGGATGAGATGCCAAAGTGACAAGAAAGTCCTTGTCTACGTGTAGCCGTACCCTCCCCCGCCAAGGCATTCCGTTACTCCTTAGCGGAGAAGGTGCGGCTACACGTAGGCTAAGAAAGTTCATGATTTGGATCTTATACTGGGCCACCAAACAGCCTTGTTCATTCTATCTGCGACTCCCTTTCCCTTTTTTTCTTCATTTACTGTGTTCTCTACCAGACAGATTATTCCTTTGAATATCGTTCGACTCTCTTTTTGACCCTCACATTATTGGAGTTGTCCATCACCTTCTGACACACTTCACTACTCCGGTTAATTTTCCAAAGTAGACGTTATAGACCGTGTACAAGGCTACGCTGGCGATAATTGAATAACAAGCCCTTAATGCTCTCTCTCCTCCAAGAATAAAAATAAAGGCAGTTTACCTGCGCCCGTAACATAGAAATCGCCAAACAGCAAAGATCCGTTAATTAATAATAGAGTTCCTCGATCCAACAGGCTCTCGAAAACCTCGAGAGTCGCGTCTCGGTGTGTTTCTTTAGTTGGTTATTGACTGCTTTTCTCAGGCAGAAAAGTCAGACTTTCCATGTATGGTTTCAATTTTTGTTAGAAGTTATTGAAATATTTACGCTCTTCATTGGAAATACCTACCCCTTGGATCAACCTTGACTCCTATCGATCTCAATTCAACAGGTCTTCAATTCCAGTTTATTGCTTGATATAAGAAAGCGAGGGCTTGGGTCGGCTCTTGCAAAGACCAGGAAATCCTGACCGAATGTTTCCTTTTAAAAACAGCTGGCGTTTAAGACAAATACGTCATATTTTTGATCTGTGAATGATTACAAGTAACAGTCAATGTAATTTCTTTAGACCGCATTTCACCAATGAGTATAAATTCGTTAGATATTTACTTCTTTGTTTGTTTATTTATCTGTTTTTTTCAATTTTCGCTTCCGTCTCGCTGTTGCAGGAAGGAACAAGAGATCATGGTCATTATGAACATCTCTTGGAAGGAAAATTATTATGAAAATGATCATGATTATTATGAACATCTCTTGGAAGGAAACATCACTCTAACAATGTGCAAGTTTTCTTTTCATTTTCCAAGTAATTTACTTGGAATAATGAAGTTTGGTTGGGATGGGTGGGTCGCCAAGGCCCTTAACTCATGTCCATTATATAGTAAAGGGCCCCTGTTGTGGCATATCGACTCCAGGCCGCAAGCCACCGGCTCCACACCAAGACTGACTTAGTGCCCCCACTCCCCACGGGATTTCTACGAAAACGTTGAAGTCACTTACGAAAATAGTTACATTGTGCAAACATCGTTGTTTAATTGAAATTGCTTTTTGCTTTTCTTTAGAACAGTGGCTTTCGCTGGAAACCGGCATCTCCCAGGATAAGATGATACACCTTCCAGGTATAAGTCAAATCAGTATACGATAAAACAGTGGATAGCGTAAAAAGTGTTTCCTTACTCGGAACTGGTTAGATCAAATCAATCAATCAGTCAATCAATAAACTTTATTTACCCTCGAATTTACAGTGTAGCCCTCGGGTGCTAATGTCTTCTAGCAAACTACATTAATAAATAATTATAATAAAAAGATTAATTCTATAACAAATAGGATAACTAACTACCTAGAAAACTAACTAGCAAATTATCTTGATGTAGAAAGGTTTGCAGTTCCTTCCCTTTTAAGTAAATTATTGTACCAAGTAGATAACAGTCGTCGAAAAGAAGTCAAATCAGAAATAGGGCGGTGATGGTCAGGAAGAGAATTCCAAGATATTGCTGCTAAGTAACTAAAGGAATTGATACCATAAGAAGTGGTCAA